GCGTGTTTAATTTCCATGCCTGTGTGTCCGCTCCACTCACTGTCCCTGCACCTTGGCTGCTGCTTGTAATTTCTACTGCCGCGGGCATGAAAGAACGACAGAGCACAGGGTCATTAACGAGAACTAATCAGCCCACAGACACGGCGAGGGGAGAGAGAAAATGAGAGACACGAAGCAGGGGAGGGAGTCAAAGCCAGCTCTGAGCGAGCGGGTCTGAAAGTGATACAGTCAGAGCAGCATGGAATTACTCCCCACTTGACGAGACAAGAGTTAATTCTCATTTAAAAATTATACGTTTTCAAAATTCTTTAAATTCAAACGTGCTGCTTTAGCATCGGCCGCTGTCAGCTCGGTGTCTGGACCGAGTCCACCTCTGATGTTGAATGTGTTGGTGTAGGGCCTGCGTTTGTCACACAGCATGACAGTTTATATACTTGTCCCACTGGTCTGTGACAGATAATGAGAAGTCCACTGGAGAAAGATGTAATTATTTTGGTATAAGAGTCTGAGGGAAAGGAAACAGGCCCTGTATGACCTCATAGCTCATTTGGTACTTTTGCGTACTTTGACACACATTAAAACACACACATGTCCAAGCACAAAGCACACATGAGACTAAACTGCAACAAAACATCATTGTCTTTGATGCCGTGACAACTATTATGGTTGGTCTAGTGAAAACAGTGAAAGTAACACACAACACCCCAGCTGTTTGTTGTTTGTTGTTATTGAAGCAGCGATGTAAATATGACTTTAGGCAGTCGTCATGGTCACCAAGATACTAACTGTGTGAGTTGATAATATATAACCACATGAAGGAAGGAGGCATTCACAGACCAACGTTCTGCTTTGTTCTCCCTTTTTTACGTGTGTCACCTTTTCCTCGTCTGCTGCAAGAGAAGGTCTGACCTCTGGGTGTCTCTCTCAAAACCATCAACTGTGTCGCGAAAAATATGAAATAGTTTTCTGAGCTTGAGTCGGGACGAGTAGAGAGTGAAAAAGAAAGAAAGAAAGAAGTGAGAGATATGATATGGAGAGCAGACAAAGGTGAGGCATTAGAAAGGAGAAAGGAGAGGAGGAAAAGTCACTCCCTCTCTCCCTCTCTATCCAGCATTACAGCTGAGATATCATCAGAGCAACTCTGTCTCCTTATTAGAATAAATATATACAAACACCAAAAGGGTCAAACACCAAAAGGATCACGACGGCAGAGCAAAGAATCCTGAGGGATTGACGACCATCAGTATCCACTCAGTTAGAGGAATTTTCAACAGACATACTTGAAGCTCTTTCACATTTTTAGAAATGGGCCATTAAAAATGAACGTTTGATGAACAAGAGCAAGGAGGGAGAAATGAGCCGGCACAATAAAACCCAAGGCTAGGAAGCTTGAAGGAGACGGTGAAGAAAGCATAAAAGGAAATGACCTTCAGCCATTCTCAGATCAAACACAACACGACCAATGTGACGTCCAGAACATTACTATAAAAAAAACTAATTTATCCATGGAAGTAATTCAAATAATTGTTTTTTTTTTGTTTGTTTCAATTTCCAGCGCTGATTTAAAAAAAAATTCACTGTCTATTATGGAAAATCCTTACTTTGTTATCTTTCTAAATATTTTCAAAAAAGCAGAAAATCCAATTGTAAACTATTTAACCCAAAAAACCAAGTCGTCTGTCTGATCCAAAAAATATAAGTGTGGTGTGTACTAATCTTTTACTTTTAAATACTTTTCGATATCACATCAAGTTAAAGACTAAATATATAAAACATCTATAAAGAATAAACTCTGACAAACAAAAACTTTGAAGTTAATATATCAAAAAATGAATTAAAAAAAAAAGTGAGAATCCGTGAACAGTCAGTGAGTGGTTTCCAATAATTTAAAAAAAAAAAAATCAAAAAAGAGAAAAAACTTAAGTTGACTTTCACTTTTGGACTTTTTCTGGAAATGTTTTGATTGTTCTCTTTCTCTTTTTTCAAGAACCAGCTTTTTTTATTATTTCAAATTTGTAAAAGCGGATATTTTATATACAGTGTGGCAACAAATGGCTATTTGCGAGGATGGTAAAAAAAATAAAATTAAAATAGCTTTTCTGAATTTTGAGAGAGACGGATGGGGAAATAAAGAAAGAAAGAAAGAAAGTGAAAAAGAAATCCTTTAGTCATCCTTTAAGCTACCATCTAACTTTTTGTACTTTACAACGTAACGTGCCTTTTTGCCTGGTATCGTGTGGGACTATGTGGCCGTCAGTGTGTGTGAGGCATTAACTGGAGCAGCCGTTCACTCCTGAGATCTTCTCACAACAAAAGCAGACGTGCCGACGTTGAGTTACAGCCGCGTCACGGCACCTTTCTACTGTAATGCAGGAGGAAAGAGGCTCAATATTTATTAGGTGAGTCATCAATAGACACATCTGACTTCGCTGCCTCTGTCTCAGCCTCACCTCCACCTGTTTGTTACCTCTCTGGCTTACTGCCTCAGCCCTGTAGGGGTGAGAGTCAAACAAAGTGTGTTTAGGATAAGTAGAAAGGACTGACTGCTGTTAGCCGCATAACAGCCTCTGTGAAAACCTGTTTCCTCTCCTCGGGCAAGTCAGAGTGTAAGGAAACAGACGAGGCAGCAGAAACACTGTCTATTCCTTACGTTTTGCCAGTGACACCGAAGGCAGCACAGAGTTTGTGATTCCTCCCGCCCTGTGTCTGTCAATGTCCGAGTGTCAGCTCATGGATTAGCAAGTTATTTCTTGAAATGACTTTCTATTCCCTGACTGCACTGTTTTTTAGGGTGTTTTTTTTTTCTTTTTCTTTTTTTTTTCTCCAGTGAAACTAGGAAAACTTGTCAGCACATCTGGAACATATCACATTTAACTCAGCAGCAGGTCAAGTCCAAACTTTTTTTTGTCAAAACAAAGTACAGTCTAATTAAAGCAGGTCTATCAGTGACAGAAATCAAGATTTAACTCCAAATTGTGTTTTCCTGTCGTGAAGAAAGCACCCCATAAATAAACAGCCAGCCTTAGTTGGAGGAGACACCACAACCACAGCAGTCACGCTCCATGGTGTATCAAGCCGAGAATCTCAGCACCCTGCGAGACCGGCCCTGACGCTAGCAGGGAGCACACAGTCGGCCCTGCCTTTCTACCCCGTGACCACTAATCGCTGAGAGCAATAAATCATGTTTTTCCAAACTTCAAGCTGAATCTAAATAATTGTACAACAAATTCAGCATGTTACGTTAATGGCTCGGTTCACAAAGTGAGGATTTTACTCAACAAAAAAACTAAGTGCTCTTGGCATCTGAGTGAAAGCTCCTTGTAAACTGCACCAGCAGCGTTTGGACTTAATAAGCTGGACACAAGGCAGTCAACAGTTGGACTCTGTACGGGACTTCTTGGACGGAAGTGCTGCTCGGACAAACGTGAACACTGAGCAACTCAGATCTGTCACGGCAGAGACGGACTTGAATCAAGACTGGAAAACATTCGAGAAAGTTCAATTTTAACTTTGCTAAAGTCCTTCGGTTTGGTCTGCCTGAGTCAACAGCACAGAAAAAACCTTGGCTCTGCTACTGCCAGCCGAGTTCATCTACCTATTAGATCCACAATATGTCAAGACTATAACATTTTCAATGTATATTTAAGTCCAACAAAGGCAGTCAACATGTTCGCTCATCATTTTTAATTTTAAGTTAAAGTACAAAATAATGTACCTAAATATGTGTTCTAAGCTTTTAACCTTATAAATTCAACCTTCAGAGAAATTGTGCAACACAAAAGTGAACCTTTCCTTAAACTTTTTAAAGGACTATTTCCACATTTTCATACCACTCCTACTCCAACACCACTTTTTTAAGGTTTTTACAAAATACCTTGCCGTGATCATGTGTTCTAGTTGAGTTCTGTGGGTTTTAGTTTGACAAATAAATTAAACTGTGTTGTTTCCTATAGTAACAATGGATTATTTTAACTTCACTACAGCGTATTTTGATGTTAAATAAAACGTTGGCATTTTTATGCCGAACACAAGAGTACTCTATTACTCTCTTAAGGTGCATTTGTCAATGTAAAGTGAATTTTCTATTTAAAATGTAATTTTTGTTGACTACCGGCTGATTCTTTTTATTACTTTAAATTCAGAAACACTTGTATTTATATATTTATATTTACTTTCTTTTACAATGACTAGATCCTACTTTTTTTCCAGTGAACAGAGTTAAGATATTTAACTTAAATTGTGCTCATGAGCTCTGTTACACGTGTGAATAAATTACATTATAGTCCCTTTTCACAATAAAACCACAGATGATAGAATAAAACTAAGTTTCTGAGCACAGTTTCAGACGCTGGGCCAGTACTTGTGCCAACAAGTAAAGTTTTTCACGTGAAGGTACCGTGTCTACAGTGCTGTGAGTAAGTGGACTACATAAAGTGGGCTTTGTGGATTTGTGCTAAAGCGGACTTGTTTACAGTTTAGCCAAGTTGACATTAGTTTGATGCCGGTGTTAACGGGTCCGGTGGGTGTAGAGCTGAGAGTCCGCCGGGCGGTGGAACAGAACATTAAACCAGATGGCTCTTAAAGTCGTTTAAATATGCGCTTCATTTGAGTAAGTTAACGTTATATGTTTAAATTTTAAAAAAAAAAGTTTTTTTTTTGTTGTTGTTGTTGTTTTTTTTTTAATTTTCGGAAAGAGGTCCAACACCAGGGCGGATAGATACTACTCTTATAGTCTATTACGCACGATTTTATTTTTTGTTTCCTGAAAACGAGCGACGTTCATGAGCCACCGCGTAACTGAAAAATGACAGATTAGTTCTTTACTCTTGTAATTGACCCACAGCTAAAGCCCTTACATACAGTTACTGGCACCATGCCTTCACTGCAGGGAATAAACACTGCTCTGCTCCAGCAAACCCCGCGTAACGCACGCCAGGCGAGGCGGAGACGGAGCATCGCGGGCTCTGCGCCGTAAACCTGTCCGCTGCACGGTCACTTACTTGGTGTTGGTCCGGTTCCAGAAGACGGCGTAGCGGTCTGCCACCACTTTGGAGCTGGGCTCCTGGCTGAAAACACACATCAACACCACCAGGCAGAGAAAAAGGACCATTTCCACATGCGACATCACTACGGTAAAACTTCGGCACGTATTCCTCCTGGGTATCGTGGTTCAGTGCAGTCGAGTTGTGCGAGCGCTTTCACCGGGACAGGTGAAGAGTCTGGTTCACATGTGGGTTGTGTTGCTGGTGCTGTTTGTAAGCGCTGCAGAATATTAAAACAATGTTAAAAGAAAAAAATGCGCACGGAATTATTCACCACGAGAATGGCAGCAAAAACGTGACCATTCAAAGGGAGGCTGGAGATGACACTTGTTTACGGTGACGGACAGCTCGAGAAGCCGCAGGATCTGGCTGAAACATGGGCTTTATTTCATGCAGGATGTCTGCCCGGACACATTCGTGGTGATGAGAAGGAAAATAAATATTCTCTACTGCGCCGGCAGAGAGATCGGAGCGCATATGAAGGGGCAGCACAACAGGCAGAGTCGTCTGTGGCGCGGCCACTGGTGTAGCCTCAGTCAGGACGAATGACAAGTGACGATCACTTCTTCTCGCTCCAGAGCCAAAGCGCAGGAGGTGAAGCGGTCCAAAGATGTGGTGGAGGAATGAGCGAGGGTGAGAGAGGCCCAATGTGTCCAGTGACGCCGTGTGGCGCACGTCAGATGTTCATGTTCTCCAGGCAACTTTTCAAAGCCATACAATCAGACAGTCAGTGGCAGGGGTAGGCAGCCTCACTCTCAGCCTTCACGTGGAATAATAGGGGGGGAAAAAGAATGTTATCCTTTCTCAGCGATTTACCGGGGGTGTCACAGTCGAGGTGGGGAGGAGTCCTTCTATGTGTGGAAGGAGACAGACAGCCCAGTGTGCGTGAACGCTTGCTCTCTCATGCGCTTCTCTCCGCTGAGACACTTGCGTTTGTCCGCATCCCAAAGTCTCCTCCTCATATATAAACCATCGTGCGACGCGCAGCAAGGAAAAAAAAAAATCTCACATGTGCGTAGTGTGTAGTCTTCCTCAGTGCGGGGTTTGGGGTTTTAAAACGCCGGGACGCACAGGAAGGTGAGGGCAGTGGCAGGCAGGCAGCTCCGGGCGCCGACCGACTGAGAGAGAGTGGGTTTGGTTACGGAGGAGCGGGGGATAGTCCCATTGGTTTGAAATTATTTGAATGGGCGTCGCTCGAACAAAGCCGACCCCTCCCCCCCGCCCAAAACCAAGCTAATTCAATTACCGAGAGGTAGAGTTGGAAAGGGACGAGCACGGGGTGAGGTTTGCACCGGGCAGGGACCGATTTTTATCCACAGTCGGATCCGAGTGATTAGAGCGCACGGTGCCATTTATCGACATACGGTCCGTCCAAATAAATCCATACCTGTTTTGTTTTTGTTTTTCATTGACAAAAAAAGGTGAATTGTAATTAAACATTTCGACGCACTTTCTAATTGTTAACATTCTAAAAATGTAACATTTAAATCGTATTGCATCGCCTCACAGCCTCGAGGAGGGAGGGTGAGCCGTGATGCTCCACAGCCGCTTGCGTAAAAGCGCAGCGCTGATGGATGGATAGATGGTGGCCATGCAGGCTGCTGCTTGTGGATGGTGGAACACTGCACCCTTTCTCACACAGAGGGCGGACTGTTCATGGGTTGCGAGCCGAAGCTCCAGCGCCCAGCCGCCCCGCAGTTGCAAACAAGCGGGACAGCTGACTCAGCCGAGGACAGATCCAAGTTCGAGTTCACCGGGGGAGCCGCGTCTGTCGTCGCCTTAAATCAGACAAGAGCTCACAAGGAGAGTTTATGAAACTTTAGAAAATGAGCAGCAGGCCTTAAATTCAGGTGGGAGATCCTTAACGAAAATACAGCAACTGGAACATAAGGTCATGTGGATACGTCTGGCTGGCTCCAGATTGAGTCCACATGCACACGTGTGTGAGAAAGAGGAATAGATTAAATATGACAAATAGTTTTTTAAAATGTGTTAACTTAAATTTCGCTAAAGGCCACGTAACACAGAAGAAGTGGAAAACAGTTTTTGTCCTTTTATAACAACAAAAAACAGCTGTGAGATTGAAAACTATGTGTTTTTTTTAAACTGTTATTAAAATGTCCTTTCATATATTTACCATATATTTTTTCAAATGTTTACCATATATTTTTTATTTATTTTTTTCATATATTTACCATATATTTTTGATAATTTTGATGTTTAGAATAATGCATATTTTAATATATACAATTCTCAGTTAGCACATTTTTATATATTGCATCATTGAGCTTTAAAAAGTCACCTGTTTGTCTAAATATAAATAAATGTTACCCTAATTAAAGTTTTGCCTGAGCCACACTCCAAAAAGTGAGACACAACTTGAGCAATATGTCAAAGGAAATTCATACATCATAGTGAAAGGTCAAAAGGTTAAATGTTTATGGATTTGAGTATTTTAATACATATTTATTTAACTTGGAGAAAAACAACTTCTTGGGATTAGAATCTTTTTTGAAACGGGGATAAGGCAGACAGCAACACATGACATTCACACAGACCAAAGATCTTAAAAATACAAATCACTAGTTTCCATCATAATCAGTTCAGAGTACAAAAATCAAATTTGGCCAAACATCTAGAGCCAGAAGATTCTGTTTCCAAGAGTTCTTTTGAAAGCTTCCAAAGAGACGAGAGCCTTGATTTTTACTTTTTGAAAATTGTTCCAGTCAAATGGAGTAGCTTATTTGAATGACCTTTCCCCTTCGTTCAGTCTGGACCTTTGGCTCTGACAAAGTAAAGGAGTTACAAGAACAAAGACTGTATGAGTCAGATGAAAGTTCAAAGTTAGACGAACGAAGAGAACCCATTATCATGTCAATGCTTTAGTCTGCAGGTGCTAGCGTACGATGTTAAAACAACTGACGATTTATAATAAATCTTAAAGCTGCATGGTAAAAAAAAGAGCATCCATCAAAGGAAGCAAGTGTGCGCCAGAGCTTGTCAACTTTTGCTGAACTGTGCAAGAGCATTGTCTGTGTAAAAAAAAAGTTGTCCTTAACGTTGAAGATTTTTACATCTGTTGCCATCCACAGTTAATGTTATTGTGAAAATTTCAAAAAAAGTCAGAAGAAAACCTTGGTTTTTAGAGGCCAAGAATGAAATAAAGCATTTTAATATGGCTGATGTTATTGACCTTCTGGCCTCAAAATAAAACATTTAAAGTTTAATACTAAATTAAATATTTAGGTTTTTATAGCACTTTTACAATCTGTATCTGTACCAACTCTTCTAGAAGCTGGATTTGTAATTGAGATTTATCTTAGCAGTAAAATATAATCAACTTTAAACCCAAAAGGCTAATTTATTTTAAAGAGTTAACATATGGTCTTTGCTTTTTGGTAATAAGTGAGTGAAGCCAAGGCACTGACTATTATAACAGAAAAAGTCAATAAGGAAGGAAAGGAACAGCCAATCGTGTGGCTAACTCTTTGCTGTTTGCTCTAAGGATACGGGGGGAGGAGAAAAGGGAGGCAGGGAGGACAGAGGGGCTGAAAGGGTGAGGGTGCAGCTAATATTTTAAGATAATCCTCTTGACCTCTTCTGTAGGACTGGAGTGAACTGAGAAACATTCACTCACAGCTATCATCATACTTCTGCCATGATCAAACAAACACACACACACACACACACACTTTAAAGCATAAACATATTTTCTCAAGTTGTATTTCCAAATACACAACATACATAAAGGACACTATCAGCTACCAGCAGAGCGGGGTGGAGAGGTCCGCCTGGAGGTCAGTGAACATGGTTGTTTTCACACCCACTTTACAGCCATAACTGCATTCCTCTCCTGCTGTGGCCTATTTCACCCCGCTCCCCCCTTTTCTCTCCCTCTCTCTCTCTCTCTCTCTCTCTCTCTGTCACAGACAAACACACTTGATAACAAGCATATTTACCTGACGAGTGCCACAGAGCGTATATACCCCCAGCTGCTTTCATTTTCCTGGGCGTAGAAACAGAGCTGTCCCTCGCCATTGCCTTCTTAACCTGCTGTCACTGTCATAGTGGGCTGCGTTGATTACTTCTCGTGGCAGCCTATTTTCTCTCTCGCCTCTCGTCCACGTGTACCAGCAGAGGGCTGCAGAAATGACGTGAACCCCATTTCCAAAAGGCTCAGTTTGTGTTTCTGTTTGATAGATCAGTGAAAAGAAAACAAATATCAACAAGAGCCAGTGATCAAATCACTTGGATTTACATGGACTGGATGTCCATTAGAGGGATGCACTTTTTTTTTTTTAATCTGGTGTATGTTCATTTCCCTTGACGTTTCATTGTCTGGTTTAATTTTTGACATAATTCTAGGAATGCCTTTTTGATGCATAAATGCTTTCATCAAGGGCTACAATTTAGGGAGTCACTGCGGCCAAAGTGACGAGTGTCTGGCCTCAGGCTCACAAATTTCTCTCTCCTGTCACATACTGTATACCCACACAGCAGGGTCACAGCAGGGTGAGAGCTTCTTCGTGTCCTCATTGGTCTTTTGCCAGTAAGACAATTACAGTCCACATCACAACACTGGCTCATTAAAGAGACATGTCTCAGTCTTTCTGGTGTCAGTATGGCAGGTTCACATTTACAGCAGCAATTATGGACATAAAACACAGAGCAGTGTAGGCGGAAACATTCGAATTCTTGGATCCCTGTAGAAAAATTATTAACATTTATGTACCATACAGAAGTGGAATATTTAGCAAGTACCTGTCTTTAGATACTAATGGGTTTTTTGTTTGTTTTTTTGACATAGAATCAGTGATTCATTCTTTTTTTTTTTCATCACATTATTCTTTTTAGATTCACATGTAGTAGAGAAACCAATTCCAGCTAAAATGTGGGACGGGCTACATCTTGACCAGTTCATCACAGGGCCATCGTAAATAACACACACCTAAGGTCAAATTAGAGTAACCATGAATTACACCAACAGATAAATTGATTAAAAAATATATAAGTATATTTAACATCCCCTGTTTAAAAAAACATTACAAAAAGACAAGCACACTTATGTCACTTCCACATGTTTTGTTTCTGAATAAACACGGTCATAAATCTCCCGAGTATCTCTTAGATGACGTGGGATTCTTCAGAAAAACACTAGGATCAGTGAGTTAAATCAAGTTAGTTCAAAGCCACAAAGTGTCTAAAATGAAATTTCTTTATAAATAAAAAATAGTCTTAGACAATAAGTCAAAGAAAAAGCACATGTCACATCCAGTTGTGATACTGCATAAAAGGGCAAACACATCTGGACTGGATGTGAGAGGAGCGGACAGGTTGTTGTGCAAAAAAGCAGCATATATTTAGCAGTAAAGGTCTTAACCAACTTTGCGACACTACGACACAGCAGTTGTGTGGAAACTCTGACATGGTTTGTGTTACTGTTCACTTGTGCTATTGTTCTGTGTAAGAATAAGGAATGTGGGAGCACATGTTGGTTTTGTTTCTCAAGTATATGTCCTGTACTACTTCATAGAAGCTGAAATGCTGCCACATGTCAGCTGTTAATACAGGGGGCGCCAGTCGAATGTTATTGTTCTAGAATTTATTCTGTTCTGTTGATGTACTTCAGTTTACTGACGCTCTCAGTGAGGCAGCTTGGTTCGATAAACAGGAAAAGACAGAGATGGCTAACTGTAGCACACCAAGTAGCCTAGTTAGCATCTCCACAACAGTCAGAAGTAGCATGAGCGCCACTATTGATGTTATTCTATTGTGTTGAGCAGCATTACTGGGTTGAAAAGTTACGGAGGCACATTGAAACCCACAGCACAGAGTGGTAAACCTCACATGAAAAGACCAGGGCTCTGGTGGACAAACCTCATTTTCCAAGCACATAAACAGTTCACCTGCTAATTAAAGAGGAAGTCACTCCTGTCACCCTTTGGTCAAACGATGCTTTTTGTCTAACAGGATGGTGTTGCAGAAATCAGTACTGGTCAAAAATTATTTTGTGTCCTGACTCTCACTGACTTCCATTGTGTTTCTGAATTGTATTAGGGCTGTCTGTGTTTCCCCTTCCTGTGTCTGCTGGGTGGAGTTCATATCATCTCTCTCCCCTGTGTCTCTGTCATCAGTCTCACTGGTGTCACCTGGAGTCCTGGGTATATACACCTCTCTCCCTCACTCTGTCCTTGTGGGATCATTG